AAACGAAAAGTAATAAATATGATTAGCAGGAACAAGAAATTTTTCATATTCTGAAGAAAGTGGAATGCCTTATTCTGATGTAAAATTCTGAAGAAGCCACAATATGCGAATTTCTCAACGTGATTAGTAGGAACAAGAAAATCGCATGTCAATAATCCAAGGCATAACAAAATTTTAAGGATATGGGTCCTGTTAAAAAAACCATAAACAAAATATATATATATTAACATAAGAGTTACCTGGACGTAGAGGGATAAAATTTTCATCTTCCATTGTAAAGAGATGAAGAAGTCTTCAAATATCTGCTTGAGAAAATTTGATTAAATTGGATTTTTCCATTCCCTCAATCAGGATTCTGCATCTCCTAGCCGATAGAAGGATTTGGAGTGAGTCGAAGGATGAAACCTAAACAGGACTGCTGGCACCTGTTTAATCGAACGATGATACTAATGTGATAGTCTGGAAAATTATTAGGGTCAAGACAATTTTTTAATCTTAACCGTTAATCTATGTTTAATCTTATCCGTACAACTCACTTTGTTAATAAACTTTGTCAAGGGACTTTGTTAAGGTAGCATTATTCCCTTTGAATACTTGTTTGTAAATGGTAATCTTCAATTTTGAGGCATATGATTGGAACTTTGGAACCTCCTTTTCAGCGAATTAAATTAATACTAATATGATTTTATCGCTCTTCATATGACTGGCTGAATCTGATGTTGACCAGGATATAAGAAGACAAAATATTAGGTACAACTTGAGCTGAATTATAAGCCCAGAACTACTTGTAGTTGTTGATACTGGGCTATAGCATATAAGAAGAATTATTAGGTAGACATTCAATCTAATCCTAATGTTGGAATTATGAGTTATAATTATGATACTGGGCTATAGCATATAAGAAGAATTATGATACTATGAGTTGTCTACCTATTAAACATTCGAACAGAAGACTTATCATTTTTTATTGCCTCTTGTATTAGGCTAACTAATGGTTAGACAAGCATACACTTTCAACAAATATACATATATTCATGCTCAAATGTCACAATTAAAGGCCATTTTTGGATGATAGCGGATTGAAACTAATCTAGTGCTTTGACGTGTCAAGTCCGCTAATTAACTTGTTTGGTAAAAAACTTATTTGATTAGCTTTTTGAACCCAAAACGCTAATTATGAAAAAACTCAATATAAGATAATTTTTATTTGTTCTTGTATTAGATTGACTAATGGTCAGTCAAATGCACACTTTTAACAACTATACATATCTTTATGCCGAACTTTCACAATGTAAGGTAATGTTTTGATGGTAGCGGATTGAGGCTCATTAAGAGGCTTGACCTTAAATCCGCTAATTACATTATTTGGTAAAAAGAAAAAGTTTGTTTGATTCACTTTTTGACACAGAAAGGGAAACAAGAAGAGATAAATCTCAAATTCTGTTTGGTGGTATCTCAACTCAGAGTCTCAGAGAAATGAAATAACTAAAAGAGAACACCAAAAACTGTTTAAATCTCATCAAAGATGAACCCAACTACAAGTCTACAACCAAAATGTGCCCATGTAAACAAAACGAAAATTGTTTGTGAAATTTGGGGAAAAATATTTAAAAAATAAAAATAAAAATTTGCAGCTAAGTAAAACTACAAAGTTTTACAAGAAGCTCACAAGCAAAATGTACAATTGCAGAGAGAGCATACCATTACTCACCCGAAAGCCTTTCTATCTTTCCTCTTCAATCTTTATACCGATAAAACTTATTTCACCTCCAAAAGAATCCAAAAAAACTCAGAAAAACCCAAAACTATAGCACCAATCCATCATAATCCCTAACCAACAGCTCCAACATAGCCACCAAATCCGACATAGACACCCTCTCGTTCGGATCCTCACTCAACGCAAGCTCGGCTATCTCCGCAAGTTTCAACAAAGGCTCCACATTTCTCGGCAGAGCCACGTACCTATCTATTATAGCCGCCGCCTTCCCTTGCCTAATCTTAGGCAATGCCCACTCCACCAAATCCGCTGGCACACACTCGGCATCGTAAGCCTTCCTCCCGCTCAATATCTCAAGAATCACAACCCCAAACCCATAAACATCCACCCAAAATCCAACATCAGGCCCAACCTCCCTCTCGCTCGGGCCCAAAAGCCCGAAATCCGAGATTCGGGCCCCAAAGTCCGCGTCCAACAATATCTTCGAGCTCCGCACGTCTCGGTGCACAATGGGGGGCACGACCCCCGTGTGAAGGTACTCGAGCCCCTTCGCCGCCTGCAGAACAATTCTCAACCTGCGGGCCCAGCTTAAGCCCGATAGGCCGCCGTGCAGGTGATCGTGGAGTGACCCGTGTGGCATGAGCTCGTACACTAAGAGACGTTCGCCCATCTCCGAGCAGTACCCAAGGAGGTTCACGATGTTGGCGTGCCGGAGGCCACAGAGGATCTCGAGCTCGGCCTCGAACGCGCGGCCGTTCGTGTGGATGATTGTGGCGGCGTTGGCCCGTTTAACGGCCACGGCCCGCCCGTCTGGAAGCAGGGCCCGGTAAACGAACCCATAGCTTCCTCGACCGAGCTCGTTGAACTCCTTGAACCCGTTTGTCGAGTCTTTCAGCTCCGAGAGACGAAAGACTTGGGCTGCGCCGGGGCAGGGGGATACCGATGCAGGCGGCGGGTGTAGCTGGTCTGGGCCTGTGTCGGGCCCGGAGAAGGGCCCGCGGGCTTTTTTAGTACGGGACAGAAGGCGCCAAGCGAGAAGAATCAACATGAGCCCGGAGATTGATGATGAACCGATTATGAGGAAAAGTGAGCGCAGCCGATTCAAATTCTGTTTTTTTCGAGTTTCGATTAAAGAATCGAGCTTGCAGACGTCTCCACACAGAGACGTGTTTTGACAGAGAGAGCATGGAGTGCAGACTCTGTCGGCATCGGAAGTGCACGAGCTCGAGGGGAAAAAGCCCTCGGAACAGTTGAGTCCGCAAGGGGAACAAATCTTGAGATCCTTTCGAACGCAAAGGCTCGTGAGGTCGGGCTCGTTTAGAAGGCTTGCGTTGAAGGCAAACATTCCCTCGTTGCAGGTTCGGGCCGTGCAGAGGCCCGGGCTGCACAGCTGAAGGGGAGGATCGTAATCTGCAGGGGAACTCAGATTAGTGAACCAGCAGTCGAGGACTAGATCGCCTTCTCTGATTCCGCACGTGAGGAAATCGGATGAGGCAATCGAGAGAAAGCCTGAACCTTTCGGGACTAACGAGGAATTGAATTGGCCCCAGCACTCTATCCCGTGATTATCCTCCCTAATCCCGCAAAAATGGCGTAATCCGGCGGATAAGGATACGAATCTGATTCCGGCCGGGGGGCTATTGTAAGAATCGTTGTCTCCCCAACATTTGATCTCGCCGGTTGTTTGACATATGCCGCAAAGGGAGTTTAAACTGGAAGCTAAGGCCAAGAAATTGTCCGGCAAGGTTGAAATCCCGAGGCTGCCGGAGTTTGGGCCCCAGCAGGTGAGCCCTCCGTCGCGAATAAGCCCACAGGTGAAACCGTTGCCGGAGACTAGCTTCTTGAATACGAGTATGCTCGCATTCTGGTCGGAAAACTGGGAGCTCTGCCCCGAGG